TTACTTACGATCAACCGTTTAAAAGTTACGAACGATTTTTTATTTCCGGCTATTTGCTTCGTTTAAGAACAACTTTATTAAGAAATACGCAGGCACTCATCGATATTAACAAAACGAGTTACTTTAATTCACCATAATACATTCCATCTACGAGAGAAAGCGACATTAAAAATGCTAAAATGGTGTCGTTAGCCAGCGAACACGCGTACACACGACAAGAGTGTAGGGACAACTGACGCAGGGAAATTTTCCCTGACTGGTGGGGAACTGTCGAGCGTGACGTCACTTCCACAATTCCCTACACACACGTGACCGGCAACAGAAATAGTTGACACGATAATATAATTATTATATATTATTTAAAATAAAAGTAAAAATCTAATAACAAATTTAGTTTTCCCCATGTTACTTTGAAACAACATTGACGTCTTTAGTTCTTTATCCCAAAATATCCGCTGTTATGCAAAAGGTCTCCAGCTTTAATTGCGTATTATACGCATTCTTTCCTCACTGTTTCACATCTAGCAATTTATACAGTATGCATATACTACACACTCGTCATTAGAACCTTCTTACGCCCATTTTATATCACTTATACAGCGACGAACGCTTTTACCCTAGATGATGGCTATGCATATACTACACACTCGTCATTAGAGCCTTCTTACGCCCATTTTATATCACTTATACAGCGACGAACGCTTTTACCCTAGATGATGGCTGCCCTGTACTTCTACCATCAGAAGTTAAGCAAAAAGTATCCAGCTTTAATTGCGTTTTATACGCATTCTTTTCTCACTGTTTCACATCTAGCAATTTATACAGTATGCATATACTACACACTCGTCATTAGAGCCTTCCTACGCCCATTTTATATCACTTATACAGTCCCATTCTTTCAGTAGTTAATAACCCACATGAATTTAAACCCACAAACAGAACTTTTCCTTCTTTAGCATTACAGCAGATGGATTTATTCTGATAGGTTATATAATTTAGTAAATATAATAAAATAATAAGCTGCTTTACAGGAGTTCACTTTATTAACAAATTTCTCTAAAATATTTTCGAATAACTAACTTTATCGTCAGGAAACGCACAAGCGAATTAGCTTAATAGCAGTGAGTCACCTTTATTCCATTCTTACTTATACTGCATAGGAGAAGCTAACCCAAAATAGTACACTAGATTTTTTTTGTCATTTTTAGTCAGATTAATTGTGCAACACATTCGCAGTATGTTATAGTGCCATCTTTGGGCACTGTTTTCTCCTTTCTCGCTATCCTAACTGTCCTTTCCCTATTCTATACTGTACTCTATCCTACTAATCTTCCCTCCCTGTGGGGAGGCTTTATGCTACTGTTGCCTGGCTATGAGTTGGGCAATGGCACTGCATCAACCAGGTAGCCACTACTGTCTCCCGGTGCAGGATGTGGCTTTCTTCCCCTTGACTTGGTGTACTTG